GTTTTCAAAAAACAGCTACGATCTGATTGTTTCACTTAATTCATTGTTTGTGTCGCTTGGATTTTAGTTATTGATAGCTGTCGGTAGTGTTATTACTAGATTTGGCTTACAAAGTGGTAAAGTATTGTCAGTATTTATGATTTAATCGTTCCTGCTTCGTAGTGTTAATTACATCTGTGAAACATGAAAAATTTGCTATCCCTTTATTTCAGAAATAGACATTGCAGTATGCCGCACCAGCTCAGAATATTAATGCTGAGCATGTACTTGATATGTAATATGTTGTTTACTTTGTTCTGTCGTTGCTCTTCACATAAACGCAGATGTTGAAGTGCCTCAGGATCATATTTACTGATGATGGAAAATGTGAGTAATAGATCGACCAAGGGATTAGAGTAGCCAGAGTCGTTCTGATGAAGCTGCCCGAACTACTGTGACGAAAACAGAGCTGAGTCCGAAGACTTAGTGTTCCTCTGCATGGTCACCTACGGGGATTAGTCATGGAACAGGACTGAAAAATTTCAGTCCCGGATACAAACGGCTGAAATAGGCTTGCTGAGACGAGTAGCTAGCTTTTCGACATGGGGGGAATACAGACATCCGGGAGAGCCTTGGTGTACAGCCTCTGCTTCTCCAGGTTGAGAAGTTACAGCTGCGATAGTTATGACATGTGTTGCGAATGCCTCCAGAAAGGAAGGCTAAACAACTGTTTCTTGCCATAGTGACTGGCAGATGCCCCAAGGGACGGCCAATATTAACTTGGTAAAAATATATGGAAGGAATCTGCGGCAGACTCATCGCCTTCTGACGAAGCTCCGACTCTGACACCGGATCGGGAACGTTGGAAGCACCGCCTGACGTGTCTGCCTCCGCGATCCGAAAGAAGCGGCCATTGAAGATGAAGAGAATGACATAGTAATCGACCATTCGAGCCCATTATTATTATGCTGGTTCCTTCCTGCAGATATTAGTGTACTAAATCGTAAATTATTTGTATTCAGCAAGTTTCGCTGTTTCCAATTTTCCCAGTTCATGAAAAGTTCTAACATTTGCAGATGCGCAAACTGATTCCTTGACCGAACTGCCTGTCTACTTGCTCCACCGCTTACTTTTTTATAGAGTAATTCGATAAATTCATCTTAAACTCTCCATGTGGTTAATTCAGCATATTATATGTATTAAGAATAGTCTCTGATAGATTAACTTTTTATAGGAACACTATTTACAGCGTGCTCGGCGTTCCGAACGACACTGCATGCTCCGCTAGACATTACCTAAGCATGGAAATGGACCGAATACGATCCAAGCAGGCGGCTGCTTATAGAATGTAAAGCACTGGAGACTAAACACATAAAGACTCCGTAGACGAATAACTGAAAACCCGCATAAAAACAATTGTAGTAATATTTAAATGATTATAAATGGCTTTCTATATATTGGTCTAGAAACAAAGCACAACCCACTAATGCTGTGAAAATCTGGTGAAAAAAAATAATCCTGTCATATTCATATAAATTTCTTGACTAAAGCTTAAATTTACTAATTTACGACATTAGCACCATTACTTCAAACTGACAAAATACTTCAGTCCATCATCTGATGTCAACAATTGGAGGCATTTGTCACGCTTAATTTTATATTTTTAAAGGTATTACAGCTACTCGACGTAATTTCTATTCATGACATCTGCTTGTAAATTCTCCATATGATGGCTTTTGGAATGTGCATTGTTTTAGCCGCCATATGGTGAACCTAGTTGTTAGATGCGTTATCTCGTGAAATATAGGCTGTTGTCGTACTCTGCTTATATATGTCCGCTTCCCACTTAATATTTTTAGTTTTCCTCAAATCTGATTAAACGTCTAGGAAATTTTACCTACATACCAGAAACAAAGTAGTCAAAACGAGATTATAGCTGGGACTCGCTGCAAGAAGAAAGTTGCATGAGCATGAGCAAACAATGAAAAACATAAATGCAACAAGGGTAGAACGAGTCATTGAAGAAACAGGAACTGCAAGGCACGGATATAAAATCTGATACAACATGAGTGCAAACAGGCGATATAATAAGTAGCGACTAGTGTTAAATACTAAACCTTCTTCAAACTTCAACTACTTCCCATTTCATGGTGTCGCTGCTGGAACAGATCGCCATTTCCAAAGAAACTGAATTAGCTGCGGCGTTAAGGCACATTCCACTGCCTGGATTAAAAATCCTTTTATCCTAAAGCAAAAACGCCCATTTAAGATTCTGTAGCAAATGATGTTTGTATAACCATCATATTCCACTTCTGAAAAGCATAATCGCCAGCGCATTTCACCAGCCGGAAGAGCTTATGACTGTCCAAGCAAAATCGTTTCAGGATTTTTAGTTCACCCTCGCTGGTCCACTGCCAGATCTGAGATTTGCTGTTCATATCACACCGTGCTAATTTAACCGGGGCACCGTTAGTATGTTTCACGTTTTGAGTTTCGACACTGATGCACAGGTCATCACGTAACCAACGGATCTTAAAAATATAACACGTAAGAAACGGCAAATACTCGGTTTAGTGGTACATGAATCGAGTACAGCTGCTCA